TAATATATAAATATATATATATATATATATATATATATATATATATTTCAATTGAATAATTAATTAATAAGGAAAAATGATATTCATTTGAATTATATGATAATACCAACATTATCACTCATGTAATGTATAAAAGTCAAGAAAGTTGAAATTATAATGAAGCGAGGAGAATCAAAAAGTCGCAGAGCCTAATATGAAAGCCATTAATTTAACCATTAACGTAAACAGACCGGTACCCGTAGTTTCTCATTCTTACTCAAACTTCATGATATCTTTGCATAAACAGCCCATTAATTCACTATAAATACCACTTTGTGCTTCTCACTTTTTATGTACACATTTCAGCTTATAAATTATTAATAGATTCAATGGGGTTTCGGTGGTCTTTTCTTTTGCTTAATTCAATGTTTTCATTCACAATTACTATTTGTCTTCTTTCTGATCCTCCTACTAGGTGTCATGAACATGAAAACTCTGCCTTGTTGCAATTTAAGGAAAGGTTTGTTATTACTAAGTCTGCTTCTTATGATCCTTTCAGTTATGCTAAAATTTCATCTTGGAATGCATCCACAGATTGCTGCTCATGGGATGGCATTCAATGTGATGACCACACAGCTCATGTCATTAGCATTGATCTTAGAAGCAGCCACATCTTTGGTACAATAGATGCTAATAGCACCCTCTTTCACCTCAAACACCTTCAAACTCTTGATCTCTCTCATAATCACTTCAATTACTCTCAAATCCCATCTAGGATTGGCGAGCTTTCTCAGTTAAGGTATCTGAACCTTTCTGACGCTAATTTTTTTGGCGAAATCCCACAACAAGTTTCACATTTGTCCAAGTTACTATCTCTTGATCTAAGTAGGTCATTTTACACGTCTCTATATGTAAACAATCTTTTGAGTTTAAAAATATCCACTTTAAGAAGCTTAATTCAGAACTCAACTAATCTTGAAATTATTCATCTTGATTATGCGACCATTTCATCATCTGCTCCTGATATACTCACAAATCTTACATCTTTGCAACGACTTTCTCTTTACCGTTGTGAACTATATGGGAAATTTCCAGCGGGAATATTCCATCTTCCAAACTTGAGATATCTGAATTTGGGAAATAATCGAAAACTCATCGGTGGATTTCCTAATTTTAATTCAAGTGCACAAATTACCATGTTAGAACTTGCTATCACAAGTTTCTATGGTATACTACCTGCATCGATTGGAAATCTCAAGTCTTTGAATTGGTTATCAATTTCACAATGCAATTTTTCAGGGTCTATTCCTCCTTCTTTCGGAAACCTCACTCAGCTTACGTTTCTAGATATTGAAAACAACAAATTCAAGGGACGTCTTTCTTCATTCTTGGTAAATCTTACCAAACTAAGCTCTCTGATTGTTGGTTATAATAAATTTACTAGTGACAACATCTCATGGATTTGTAAGCTGTCAAGATTAAATGAATTGGAACTTGGCTTTGTAAATATTGGCAGTGAGATTCCATCATGTTTTGCAAATCTCACCCAGCTATCTGGATTATCACTACTTCAAAGTAATTTAAGTGGACAAATTCCATGTTTCCTGATGAACCTAACAAATTTAAATTACATGAATCTTGGATCTAATCATCTTCAAGGTGAAATTTCAAACTGTCTCTTAAAACTTGAGAAGCTAGAATATTTTACTGTGGCATATAATTTGTTGGAAGGAGAATTTGAGCTTGACAAGTTTGTAATGCTCGAGAGGCTACGTGCTCTTGGATTATCTTACAATAAATTGTCGCTAATTAGTGGAAAAAATCCATCCAATGTAAGCCATTCTCGAATTCAAATGTTAGGTTTGCGTTCATGCAATTTGAATGGGTTTCCAAATTTTATCCGGGACATGGTTGAACTGACATATCTTTATATGTCAGACAATAATTTTAATTCATTCCCCAATTGGATGTGGGGAAAAACAGGTCTTCAAGGTTTAATTGTTTCCCATAGCTCATTGGTAGGAAAAATATCCCCACTAATATGCAATTTGAAATCTCTTGTGCATCTTGATTTATCATTTAACAACTTAAGTGGCATGGTTCCCTCTTGTTTGGGAAGTTCTATCCAATCTCTACAAACTTTATCGCTAAGAGGAAACAAATTGATTGGCCCCATTCCTCAGACGTATTCGATAAGAAGTGCTTTGAGAGCGATAGACATAAGCCATAACAATCTGCAGGATCAATTGCCGAGAGCATTAGTCAACTGTAGAATGCTAGAGTTTATTGATGTCAGTCATAACCAAATTTATGATTCTTTTCCCTGTTGGTTGGGAACTCTTCCGGAGCTGAAAGTTGTTGCTTTAAGTGATAATCAATTTTATGGATCTATAAACTGCCCTACAACTTGTACTTTTCCCAAACTGCACATCATTGATCTTTCTTGCAACCAGTTCTCTGGAAGTTTGCCTTCAAAAACAATCCAAAATTGGCAGTCCATGATAGCTTCCAACGAGAGTCAATTACAGTATGGGGATTTTCCAACCTATAATTTGACAAATATAAGGTTCAATTACTTGAATTGGATGAATGATATTTATCCTTATACATTTACAATGTCTAACAAAGGGGTGGTCATGGTTTATGAAGATCTTCAAGACTTTTACACCTTATTAGCCATTGATCTTTCAAGTAATAAATTTTGTGGGGACATTCCAGATGTTATGGGAGACTTAACAGGCCTTGTTTTGCTCAACCTGTCCAACAATATGCTTAGTGGCAGCATTCCTTCTTCCTTAGGAAAACTTTCAAACATTGAAGCATTGGACCTTTCTCAGAATAGTTTATCAGGGAAGATTCCCCAACAATTGGAAGCATAGAAATCTATTAAAAAAGAACATAATAGTGTTTCTTGGACTAACATTTTTTCTATATTGAAATAGTCAAAATTTGAAAATTTCAAATTAGATGGGTCACCTATGATATCAATTTTTTTCCATGAAAAAGGAGAGATATCAAGATAGAGCAAAGATTTTTTACAAAATGCACCATCGAAATTAGGTCCAATGAGACATAACAAGAGAAAGCAACTACAGAATAATTATTGGCCATGAAAAATAGTCTAATTCAAATAGACCATATAGCAACTTAATTAAATAAAAAGTTATCTATCTATTTATATATTCATTTATAATATATAAATTTTACATAGTGACACAATGTATGACCTCAATTTTTTTTAGTTGAGTTGTCCTAATTTTACCTATTTAAAGCAATCTTTAATATTATTTTTTTCTCTTGTAGTGCATAATAATTGTAATAGTCCAGCAAGACTTACAATGATACAACAACACAACAATGCAGTAGATAAAACATCTATCCTAAGTAGAATATGAACATCATGCATATATAATACATATATAATTAGGATCTCAACAATTAATTGGAGAATATAAAACATTTTTTGGTCATCAAATAGTAGAACAAAATTCTCTTATAGGATAATATATAATATCTATGAAATTAACAATTTTTAGTCGATCTAAATAACTATACTCAACTATCCACAAATGGTCTCAAGTAGCTTAAAGCCACCAACCATCCTTAAGTTAAACTCCATTGCTAGAGAGATATAATAATTGCAACCAACACATAAAGAACATGGTAAATTTCATATAAAGGAAACATCATATATAACATAGTAGTGCATCACAACATGAATATGAAAATTCATCATCTCAATGCTCACAACACCAACAATGTCTCATTACTAGAGACCATATGCACAATTATATCACAACATCATATGCAAAAACATACAAGCAGCACATCTATGTGCCAACTCTCACCATGTGTTGTTACTCAGAAACAATAGCGAAGATTTCTTACAACAACCAGTTTATTCAACTCAACCCTACGGATCATAATTGCATTAGTCACTTGAGTATCGTCAACATAAACCCAAAAAGTTAGGTATAACTTTCAAGTATAGTATAATTTAGGTGTGAACCTACTATGACATTGGTCTACAAAATCAAGCCTTTGATGGATTCAGTTTGCCACCAAGATATCACACACCTTTCCATCACTAGGTTGGGGGTCACCTAGCCCACTTTCATGCTAACTCAACATTTAAGTTCCATGAACCCAAACACAAACCATTTATGACAAATATCAAGCGACTCACTGAAAATGCATAATTAATACATCTTTTTTAACATTGGGATTATTTGACATTTATAAATATCTTAAATCGGTGAATTGGTTGAAATTTGTTTTAATGGATTATTTTGGTTTCAATTCTAAATTCTAGTTTATTTTCGTAATTTTTGTTCACTTTGATATGTTGTATTGAGCAAGCCATATCTTAAGCTCCCGAATCAAAATCAAACATTCTTAGTGTCTCTAAAAAGTTAAGATAGAGATATACAACTTTTCGGTTAGAAGTTTCACCCAATTCAAATGTCTTAGGATTAAAAAATGTGCCACAATGTTACGCATTTGCAATTTGTATTAAGTTTTCTTTGAAATATTTTTGTATGAGTAGCTTAGCCTTGTTTTTAGGTAATTAGTAGGTCAAACCTTGTAAATATTTTGATTAGGCCCATTAATTTGGTATATTTATAAGTGTTATGAGACTTATGACTCAAATTTGTGTGGCGATAAAAATGATAGAAATAGTATATTAGGGTATGTGTTTGTGATGTGTAGAACACCTACTTCATGATGTTTCAACAAGAATTTAATGGTGGCATTATTCGTATGTGTGTTGAATACATTATTGCTTCAATGGAAGATTGTCAAGCCTTGTGGCTTGAGAACTTGATGTTAGAAATGGAAATTAGAATAAAATAACCCATAAAGATGCTAATGGACAATAATGGGTCACTTAGTAAGTTTTGGTCCCTATGTTGAGCCAAGTTAGGCAATTTAGTGAAACGTTCTCGCTCAGCAATGTTTGGCCCTTGGTGAGTGGCCATTTTAATTCGCTTAATGATGATGAGGTTGCTTAAGGAATGTTGGTCTCTAGGTAAAACCCCAAGAGGCAGGTCACTTAGTGAACAAGGTTCACCTAGCAAATTTTGGCCTTGGGTTTAGGTCATTTTAATTCGCTCAATGAGGATTGTCTTACTAAGCGAGTTGGTGTTTCTATGCCGAGCATGCTGCAGAGTCTTGCTCAATTAAAGGTGATGACTCAATGAGTGTTAGTCCCTATCTTGATAGGGAAATATGGGGCACTTAGTGAGAGGTGCTTGTTAAGCAAATTTCCCTAGTTGTGATGGTTCTCGCTCAGTGAGAGAGGGGCCTATTTTCTAAATAGTGATCTAGTGTTGTGCTAATGTGTTCCTTCTAGTCTTGGAGGCTAGGAACGAAGGTATGATGGTTTCCATATATAGGTAGGTGTTGTGCTCATCATTAGGTGATTAATTCTAGATAACCTAGAGGGATAGGAATGTGTGGCTTGTGCCCTCAATCTTGTGTGTAGTTTTGTTATGGGCATGATTCTATATATGGCTATGTTGTGATGTGTTGTTGATGCATTGTTGCATGATGATGAAGGAGAATGTAGGGAAGATTGAGATCTTAAATGACAATGTTGTTTGTGAATTGAGCATGATGTTGAACATGGGTGTTGTGAAGGCTAAGCTGCTTATCCACGGTGTTTAAAAATGATTTCAATATGGTTTAAATTAGAATGTTCCTTGTGGAGTGTTGTTTTGTTGAGTTGTTCAACAAGAGATAGCAAATGATTTTCTAGAAGCCTAAAGTTTTGTGGCTCAAGCCTTGACATGTTTTCTTTAAAAGAAATGGTTCTCATTTAAACTTGTTGTGAAAATGGTAAGAGGTGAGTGATAGCATTGGTGAATTACTATAAAAAATTATTATATTTTTTCCTTAAATTTTAATATAGGGAACAATGTATGTCATTCTTCTCGAAGACACAAGTTGATTAAATCACAATTTATCACGTACTATTCGAAAGGGGGTTTCTAGACAATGAAATAGTAAAAAAAAAAAAATTAAACAAAAACTTTAATAAAAAATTGCATCAATTCAAGATTTCAATCTTTGTAGTGAAATTGTCATGGTTCAACATATAATATGAATTCAATCAACCTTAAATCACCATGAATATAATTAAAAAGTATATTTATATCTAGATCTATTGAATTTCATTCAAACGTGAGACGCAATCACATATATATATATATATATATATATAGATATATAGAAGATATCCTCCAATCTAGTTATAGCATGCTTTTCTTTCATAGCAACTGGTTTAGATACTTAAAAAGAAACCTAATTATTTACAGAGTTTGCTGAAACTTATCGATACTCTAAATAAATGATATCACAATACAATAATAATACAAAATATACTCAATTCAATAATATAATGAAATACTCAAATTAACTTTTAAATTTTATTTGAGAATATTGCACTAAATTTTATATCGAATAAGCTAGAGTAGTTTAGAACAACCGTAATAATTTAATATACAAAGAATGAATAAAAGATAGCACTATGAGTGAACTGCATTTAATACAAGAAAAAAATTGTAGAAGGTTAAAAACACATTTTTTTTAATATTATGTTAAGTTAATTATATAATTGTTAACAATTATTTTTTTATTTCATGATTTTCATATTTTTCTTTAGCAAAATTCACGTAATTTTACTTAATAAGAAATCTATTAAAAAAGAACATAATAGTGTTTCTTGGACTAACATTTTTTCTATATTGAAATAGTCAAAATTTGAAAATTTCAAATTAGATGGGTCACCTATGATATCAATTTTTTTCCATGAAAAAGGAGAGATATCAAGATAGAGCAAAGATTTTTTACAAAATGCACCATCGAAATTAGGTCCAATGAGACATAACACGAGAAAGCAACTAAAGGGTGAAAATTGATGATGCACCCATGAACCACTTGTGAAGGTGGTCCTTCAGAGAATTCACCGTGTAAAAAGAAAAACTAGTAAGTATTTTCTTCTTCTTTTTTTATGCATAAAAGCTAGTAACTATTCTCTACATTGCTTGTAAAATAAATGGTCAATGTTGTCATTTTTATATTTTGTTACGAAGGTAGTTCCCAATTGGCATATTAATTATCTTTACTTATATATTTTTTTTATCTTATACTTAGTTTTTCTTTGTTGGTGGTCAAAAAATATAAAATTTCCAAGAGTATTATAGTTACATTTGGAAAAAGTAGCTAAAAATAATTTGAAACTTCAAAGTCATTAATTTAATTTATTATTTATGGCAGCAGAAACACTAGCTGCATACAGGTGTTTGGTAAAAAGCTAAGAAATGTAAAAACCACCGAAATACATATGTTTATATTATATTTTTATATAAATTTTTATTTTATTTCATTGATAATTTTTTGGGTAATTACAATTTATTTGTTTAATTAATTTTGAGTTTTCACAAATTTCATTTAAAGATCAACTATTTTAACTATTTTTTTTAGTTTTAATTGTTTAATTTTTCATATAATTCATTCTACTATTAACCTCATATTACATCTTAAAAAGAATTAACTAATTAAATTTAAAATATAAAAAAAATTAAATTATACTTTTGATTTTTTATCTTATTTATTAGATTCATTTTAGTTCTTTATCTATTAATGTATTATTTTGGTCTTTTATCTTTTATATTTAGATCAATTTGGTCCTTTTAAAACAATAATAATTTTTCATTTTACCACACAATTTTGAATCAATTTTCAACTAATTTGATATGTGAAATTTGTAACAATAAATTCAACTATATAAAAATTATAAAATTCAATCAACATTTGAATTCATAAGAGCTATAACATAATAAAAATTATGTGAAAAAATATATATGATAAATAACTA